TTGGTTGCTCCTACAAGCAGAGTTGAGCTATTGCAGAGCATTAAGTAGAATGCGGACAAAAAAGACTGCCAAATTCCCCCCCCCCTCCATGTTAACTCGTTTAAATGCAGTGATCAAAGCAAAGGCGATGCTACAAAATGTTAAGTAATTTTTTTTCGTCTTTTATGATTGAGTTTTAATGTTTATAATGAAATAATATAATATTTTGGTTCACATGAAATTTTATTCTATAATTTAAATTTTTTACAAAAATAAATTTTGTAATTAATTTATGCTTTATTTTGATTTTTTTTGTTTAAAAATACTGTAATATATGTAAATATGACTCGTTAAATTTGTAATTTGACTTAGGTAAGCAAAAAACATATAAATAAAGTAAAATATTTTTTAATATCGAATTTTTGAGTTATTCTAATATTTTGAATCAAAGCTTTATAGTTAAATTAACTACTGATTATATTGACCATTGTTAATATTCTAAAGAACGAAAGAATATAGCTATAAAAAAGATAACAGATAAACTTTTCATTCAAACGAAAGAGAAATGGTTTATTTTGAATCCAAAGAGATGATAAAAAGGAACTAGATTTTTAAGGGGCCTGATCATTAAAAAAGTCTTCTTATTTTTCTTATTTTTAAGTTAGTAACAAAAGCGTACGCTTGCAATTTTTCAAAAAAAAATATATAGATAGATAGATATTTTTTAGATGATTTACAAGCTGAAAATACTTTCCGTAAATCGTAATTTTTCACTGAAACCTTAAAAATTTTTTTACCTGAAAGCCGTAGAGAATATTAAATCATAATGATATTTTTGATATAGATTGAATCAATCTCTTCTATAATAAGCTCTGTTAAATTTACCAAAAGTCAATTACAAAAAAAAAATAATAATAATAATTGAATTACACATATATCTGTTTTAATATAAAAATAAAATAATTCTAGATATTACCAGACGATATTTTCAAAAATTTAAACAATATTTATTTTGTAGTCAGATGTTTTGTATAATTATTTTTCCCATAACTGCTGACGATTTCATAGATTTGATGCTTGGTTGAAAGCATTCTATTTTCATTAAGCGGCAGACAATGTTTTAACTAAATGGTAGACGATATTTAAAAAAACTCTTTTTTTTAAAAATTGTATTATTGAAAGAAAGTCTTCCATTGTTAAAGGAATCAGATGCATGTACCTAATAAATGTTTGAAAATGCTCTATCTGCATAAATAATATCAAACTTTGTTAAATTTTATACTTTAATCTCATCTGTAGGACTGGGGAGTTAGTTTTAAATAAGAGAAAAAAGTTATTTTCATAATTAATTTTCAAAGTCGACATTTGAAAAATTCAATAAAACAGCATTAGAAGTTTCAGGACACTCATCGGATTGAGAACTAATTTGTTATTCTATTAAACTATTCTATAGAAGCTTACAACTGCTTAAATTTTGAAAATAAAGGATATCCGGTATGTATAATTCAATTGTTTTAACTCCGTCGATTAATATTTTAACAATAAAGATTTTGTACAATTCTAATGCATTTTTCAAAAATAATTCGAATGATTCAAAAGATAATATACTGTATAACAATGACATTTCTGGTAATAATAATAATAAAAAAAAATTCTGGTAATAAAAATGAAAAAATACGGTATTTAAACTATTCATTTGGTAATTTTCCCGTTTAAATGGTAACGATATTTCGGAAATTCCGATTTTCAAAATTCTAGTTCTTATTACCACACATTTAGTAATAAAATAACAATCTGAAAAATAAATTTAACCGAATATGCAGTTTTTATGTCATGCTCTATTTTTGCCCCTTTACCAAGTTTAATCACGTATTATAAAACCATATTTTATTATTAATTTTGCCAAAATAATTACCAAAACCCACTTAAATTAGTAAAAATTACTGGGCTTTTTTGGTGCTTCCATGGAGCCAGAAACACGATAAATTTTATCATATTCTGGTAGTGCTGACCATGCTTTTTTTTCAATGTACCATATAGCTCATTTTGTTTTACATAATTAAATTATTGTTCTTGTTTGTAAAAAGATTTAACATTATAATATTTTTAGTTACAAGTATTATTTTACATTATAAAATGATTCATTATTTTTAAAAAATTTGAATTCCAAATTTTTATAATTGCATTCGAAGTTACATATTAAGAACATACTATGTTAAGTTGCATTCATTGTGTGTATTAAACAAATAAAATGTTGTGCGTTAAGCTTCATTAAACGTTGTGCGGAAATTGCATAAACGTAATAGCAATATGCATTGATTTATACACTTGATATAATTTTTATTTTTTATAAATAACTTTGTACATCAGGATAATTTTTTTCTAAGAAATTTCTCTACTTTTTGAAATATTTCGCTCTTGTATTATCTCCCAGTGTCGTGCCGAGGAAGAAGGCGAACCAGCTAATCCAGCATTTTCCAGTGTCATGCTGAGGAAGAAGGCAAACAAGCTAATGCAGCTAGACATTCATTTAACGTTTTCAGCGAAGTTTGGATTTGGCAACGAATGGCACTAAAATTTTGAATCCATTACTATTTTCATTATAAGAATAATTTTTTTTTAAATGACAATTAAAAGCAAAATATTTTCCAAGGAATGAACTTTGATTTTCATTCATAGAAGAATGAATGAATTTTTTGCCATAGAAGAATTCCGCACTTGTGAGTTTAAAACATGGATTTGAAATATGGAAGCAAGCTGAGTTTTGGGTTTAGATTCTTATAAAGGGGCTGGAATAGCCTGGTTGGTAGGGCGTTGTACCCATGTCCAAGAGGTCGTGAGTCCGATCCCTGCAGACCAAAGACTTCCTGTGTAATAAATGGTGACTGATGCCCATCAAATCTGTCGGATCACAAAGTCCTCCGTGTTCCAATAACAAATCATACTGAATTGGAGATTGATCGTTCTCTGGTTCAGGTCAAAATTACGATTTGTGGATGAATGAATGGATGTATGAATGAGTCCGATATATAAACTGGCAGTGACGTGTATGTGGCTGAAATCGTACTCTTGGCCATAGATGGCGCCACCGAAAAGCAAGAAACGCATGAGAAACAACAACAGATTCGTATAAATGATTACCTTTCCAGCGTTTTTAATTAAAAAAAAAACTGTTTCTTCTCTCTTTGAATCTTTTAAGGAGCAGCTAATCAAGGAGTTATTACCCATACACACACCTCTACATGTCACTTCCATCCCCTAGTGAAGAAACTCGATTGAGAGTGCTATATGGTAAAGTCTTTAAGCAAAAAAAAAATAATTATGAAATTAAGTAAATTAATTTATAAGAATATTCAATTTAATACAATAAAAATAAGAATTCTCAAAAATTATTTGTGTACAGCATAGCCATTTTAATTTTTTCCTGAGTACGTGTATATTTACATTTTTTTGCAAATACCCTCTAATCAAAATAAATTGTTTATTTTTGAGAATTGATTCGTGAACCACTAACTCCATTGTAAGTTGTTTTTCTTAAAGGAGTCCATTGTGTAGTGTAATGATTAGGGGGAGGATGTAAAATTGATAAGTAAACACCTTAAAAAACTAAATGAATTTGTATTACATTAAAAAAATTAATAAATAATAATTTAAATATGGGACTGATTCATTAGATCGGGAAAATAGAGATCATGAAAAATTACAAATGATGCATTACCTTATGAAAAGACGATGAGTCTACTAGTGATCTTTTGATCGATATTAAGAATGCAAATTTCATGATATTTCAGCAGAAAATACAGTTAAAAATTAAAATACATGCAAGTAATGCGTAAAGAATGAATAAATAAATCGTTAGTAAGTATTTAATTCATTCGTAATGAATAAATCTTTTAAAAATGAAACATACGAAGTTATTAAAACACGCTGATATCGCTGATACAGTTCTGATATCAATAGAAAGCTTATCTCATCAGCTGTAAGGACTTAAAACTGACAATGAAGACTACATAATTTAAAAACAAAACTTTTTAAATACGTTCAAAAATAGAAGAGTAATTATTTTAAGGAAAAATTATTTTTTTAAACATTTATTATTTTCATTATTTAAAAAAAAATAAAAAATTGAAACTATTGAAATAGATTTTTGGTAGCGATACAAGGGTGTGTGAGTGTAAGCATACAGAAGTNGTGTGTGTGTGTGTGTGTGTTGGGTAGCTTAAAATATCTATAAATGAATGTTGGAATGTTGTTAATCATGCTACATTTAATAATGAAATGACGTTATTGTTTTATTAAGTTAGTGTCATTGTTAATTTTTGTTAAATAACATATTATTTACAAATACCAGAATTAAAAGGCTCGTTTTGGTAGCCATAATTTTCTAACTTAGCAAGAGAAATTAATTTAAACATTTTCTTTAATTTAGCATTCTGTATTAATTTGTAATATTTTTTAAAATTATTTAATACAATTTTTTAAATTATTAATTTGGTTCATTCACACATTAGTTTAAGAGTTTTCTAAACTCTGACTGCAGCCAAATAGTTTTTTAATGATTAATTTTTTTTTAGCTTAATTTATAAAAATATTCATTAAGGTCTTTCTTATTATTTATTTTTGTTTAAAGCTTTTCCACGAATATTAATATTTGACAATGGTCGCCCTTACTTTTTTATTGCATAATTCAGATGCTATTAAATACATGTTTATTTTGGTTACTTTTACTTTCCAATATTGTTACTCGCTTATCTAATTGAACAAAAATCGAGTAAGTTCATCTACCTCGATTAACGCCTAAAAAAACTAAAATACAATAGACTTATGTCTCTACCGGTCAGTGCTTCGGACTTCGAGCTTAAAAGCCACCCAAAAAGCACGGCACCACCTTCAATAGTTCTGTTTACGTCTTCTGTTATGAGCGGCCAGCGGCCTTATCCCTACACCACCATACCCTTCCCCTTCTGATTTTCTTTCTCGGAGGTCAAAGTTGATGGACTCAAGATTTTCGCGCCCAGTGGCGCTCTCTGCGGGCGAGATTGGCGCTGAAGAGAAGCGCTTTTCTAACCGATCGCCAGTGCGTCGGCGGCGGAGGAGGGATGCGGTGGTTGTTCGCTCTCCTGTTCGGCTGCTTGGTCGGTGCCAAGGCCGATTATTTCATCGGTAAGTCCTCGTTTGTTTTTCTCTTTCGCGCACACCCCCTAAAAGCATACCTTTTTGAAGTATGTACCGGCTTTCTTTCTTCTTTTCTCTAATATTACAAACAAATGCCGGTCTTTTTAAAAATTATGTAAAATCTTAAAATTTTTCTTAGAAAATGTTTATAAAATCATGTGAAGATTCGGGGTGGGGGTTAGAAAAGGGGATCGATCCCTCTTTAAGAGAGGGGCCGATCGATAGGGAGGTACTTCTGGCAGCTCGATCGATGGGCGACCCCGATAGTACATATTCGAATGAAGGCGGGTTTTCTGTGATATCAGTTGACAATTGACGCTTTGTTTTCTTTCTTTTTATTCACCACAAACAGTCTATCTGTTGTAATTCTCCATCTGATAGCACGCTTGTCTCCTTACTCTTCTATCTTTGTGTTCATTTTAAACTTACTGACAGCTGTGTTTCAGTAAGATAATACTTCATCTCGATAAGCCTTTTTTTTATTATGAGTTTTGATAGTGTTATTTTATTAAATCAAATTATTGTTTTTAATTTTTGATTACTTTATCGACAGTACAAAGCACATGAACTATTTTCAGAGATATTAATATAAACTCCTGCTTTTAATGACATCATGTTATCATTTGTGGTGTAATATTTGGTTTTAATCTTCTATAACATTATTATTTAATTGTGTAACTGTGTGCATAATATATCAAAGAATGTAATCACAACAAGAAAAAGAAAATCTTAAGTAATTATATATATCTTTACAGTACCCAGTGTTAAAGCGGGATAAAACACATTATTTAAAATTAATAGAACTATATATTCATACTGTGGATTTGAGAAATCGAAAAAGAACTATTTCTGTATCGTAATTTTTAAAGAAAATTGAATTTCTTTTTAATGATTGTAATTTGAGTTTTTACATAAAATAAAACTAGTGCCAAATTCCAAATATATTGAAATGCCAGATTTTTTTACTTTTCTATTCAAAGGAGACATCAATTTTCTTATTTTATTTATGTTTATGCATTTATCATGAAGAATTTAATAATAGTTGTTCTGAAATAATAAAAAAATTCGTAATTTCACGAATTCTACAAAGAGAGTCAAATTCGTACCTTCAAAAAGCTAAACGTGTTTATTTTCATTTATTTATGACCCAGTTTGTTATGCTAAACAATTTGTGACTTCTTGATTTAATTTATACTTTAAATGGCTTTTTTTAATTGAAACAATTTTCTTCCTTTTGATGGTTGAAGTATTTGTTGCTTAAAAACGTTGATAATTTTTTTCAAAAAAGCAAATTTTCTTAAGTATATCTTATTGCATTACACTTTTTTACCTAGCAAATAGAGTAAAAACTTATTTTGCATTATCAATTTTTTATTTTAGTTTTTATTTAGTTCGGAATAATAAATTATAATGGCAGTGAGGTATGTTTGTCTTTTCTTGTTTGTGTTATGAAATTAGCATAATAAATATATAGAGTGATATAAGTTGCATGTTATATCATATGATGCGTGATTTACTGAGTAAAAATCAAATATTTGTTACACTTAAGTTCAGTAGTTTTTTTATCAAATACTTTTATGAAACATTTGGGAAAAATTTGAATCCATAAAAAATTTCCTCATATTTTAATTTTTCAATTTAAGACAGACAGTATATTTTCTATTACCCCTTTCTTATTTATTGTTCATTCGATTGCTTATTTATTATTCTATGGATTATGTGCAGCTGCTATGCTTTCACTATTTCACAAAATCCCTCCAAAAATAAAAGATGCATATATATAT